CAACACAAACCAGTCTGGGATTCTATGAATTACTTCTGCAGGTCAAACAGAAGGGCTGTGACACTGAACAGCCTGGAGTCTAACAGCAAAGCAGTAGATTTAGCATCACCTGCCACTTCTTCTACCTGCCCACAAAGCAGGATGTCACTTGGATGAATCCCTGATAACCTAAGAAATACTTAATAAAAGTTTTGTGTTAAAATGTACTTCTTTAAATCCACAAACAAAAAAAGGTTTGGGTTTTTTTTTTTAAAGAATTTGTTTATTCTCGAACCTGGGTCATATTTCAATTCACGAGCCATTTTTAAATGTACATCTTTGAATTCAATTTTAAGTGTTTTACACAAAAATATTGGCACACAACAGTCGCACTAAGGTGTGAGAGCCACCTTTTCGGAGGAACTGCTGCAAGTGTTTGCCCAAGGTTGAAAAAACTTTACCTGGAACATGAAAACCTGTAACAAATCTTAAATTAATTGTACAAAACTGTTGTGTGTTACTTGTAGAGGCTCCCCCCTGGAAAAGACCCCACCCCGCCCCCAAAAATGATTACAACTAATATACATCAGTCACAACATAATCCTGGCTCAGCACCCACATCAGACGCTGCTTTAAGTTTTAAACCAATCATCAGATAACGAGGAAAGAAACTTTGTACAAAACCCAAATCTACACGTGCCTGGAAAAGAAACCACGCCAGTAGTTAGCATCAGGGTGAGATAATGGCAGAGGCTGCCACGAAACTTAAATACAAGGGCTGCATAGCATCGCAATAGACTCCCAGAAGCATTAACCCTTTGGCACCAGAAATCCAGGTTTCCTGAACGCGTTCCCCATCGGCACCAACCATCTGAGCTTTGGGCCTGCAAAAACCAAAGGGTTAACCATTGTCTGCCAAGACACTGCACGCAGTTGGCTTTGATATAAAACCTGTGAAAGAGTAAAACAAACCATATGATGAACATGTGATAATGAGAGGATAAAATATCTCTTCATATTGACTATTTAATTTAGAACTTTGGGAAGAACTTGATGTAATGATTACATCAAGGGCAGTTACCAAAGACTTTCTTTTAAATAGCAACTAGGCATGAATACTAGACTGAAGTGGTCATCTGTCCTCTATTCATTATCAGAATAAAGTTCCAATCACTCTCCTTGACAGTTCATATAAGCAAAAAAGGGATTATTCCCATTTTTAACACCTACTGCAGGGTTAGAGATGTCAAAATTGCAAACAGTCACGTTAGGGCCTTGTACCGTTTCCTTTAGGTAGAACTGCAAGTACTTACGAAAACAGGGCAAAGAGTTAGAAAAGACACCAATGCTGCTTCTTACTACAGTGGATTACAGCATTTGCAGCTTGCTTGGACCTTGCTTAGCATACAGACTAGGCAGATTTGAAGTGAAAAAAGTTATGCCAATTAAGTGACAAGATTTCAGCACAGCTTATGCTACAGAAGATATATAAAAACAATTCTTTTTTAACTAGGAAGGAACATAAAGCAAATAAGTTTTACAGTTCAGTAAAGAGGGTTCAGAAAGTAAATGACTCTTTTTGTGACCAGGATGTTTGGTAGACAGTGAACTGAAATCCGGGACCAGAAAAGTACTCTTAAACAACCCTTCGGACTTCAAAAAACCTCTTCAGATAGTAGATTTGTCCCAGTGTCATGGCAACTAGTACAAGAGCTTCAAAGAATGACCAAAGAACCACTCTGCTGTTTGTGTTGTCATTAACTGTTGGGAGAAAAGAAAAGAAACGTAGTAAGTAACGAAGCATTTAAATGTTTAAGTATTTAAAACACATTTTGTCATCAGAACATTGCATATAAACCACAGGTATTTGTATCACGACACTGCAAGTGGCCCAGGAGGACTCTGCAGACTTAGAGATGAGATTTGAGAGCTGAGGGAGGTGTTTTTCTGAAGAGCTTGCTATGCAAGCAGATGTTTTAACCTCAACTTTGGACATCAACTGCAGCATCTTTATTCTGCCCACCTTCAAAGAGGTCCGACAGAAGCTTGTAACTTCCAGACAGAGATATTTGCAGGTTCACAAAGTTGAGGGACCAGTGCTTTAGGATAATGTTGTGCTTCCACATTAAAAATATTTGCCCTTTACTCTCACTGGGCTTCCCCTAACGCACCACTTGGTGCCCTCAGTCCCACTTCACAGCTGTATTTCAGAAGGTGAAGGTTGTGGCTGGAGTTGCCACACTCTACTTGGAAGGAACAGCAGTTCTGCTCTATTTCAATGAAGTATTTAACAAAGATTTTGGCAGAATTAAGCCACACTCACTTCAAGGATGAAGTAATAGTTGAAACAAAGCCTATTCCTGGGAACCAGCATTACCCACATCTGCATGAATGTGCCATTTAAAGAATTAGAGAATTTACACCAACTAAGCAAAGATCATTCTGCACAACAATCTTCATTACAAGAGGGGTGAGCCAGTTTACAGACAATGGCAACACTAACTACATTCAGTACTGTATGGGCAGGGTCTTCAGAACTCGTTCTAAAGGTTTTTTTCCTGGAACAGCTTTCATGGACTTGATTTAAATCACATTCTGTAAACTCACTTGAGAGTGGAGAAAGCACTTAAACCAAAGACATACTTGCTCTATGTATTCTTTCACGAACTTCCATGTACTCTTGTTCATGCTTTACAGCCGTCATGGCCACTGCTAACTCATTAATCATCTCTTCTAGCTTGTTCTGATGAGCTGCAGAATAATTTCAGAAGCATCAGAAAATGTGTTACTGACTTAGGAAAACAGTTTAAGATTCATGAACAGTTAATACTTTGTTCCCTGTGGCAGAGAAATGCAGTCTCTACAGCTGAAACTCCCCATCCTCACAGCAAAGGAACAGTTTAGTTTTCATAGCACCACTTTTCCTCACGTGTCTCTACGGTATTTAATAAAGTGGGGAAACATCTTTCTCCACATCTGACTACAAAACACAAGACACAATTTAGAGTCAGTACAGACCACTTATTCCCAGTATTGGCATACTTTTCCAGAAGAACAGAAGATAAAAACATATAAAATCAATGCCACACAATAGTATCTATTTTGCCAATATTGTCCCATATATTCCAAGCAAATTATCAGAACATCACAGCTTTTCCTAGTTGTTAAGCTTGCAAAAAAATGGAACGACAGAATTTAGCTTAAGATCGTGATGCTGGCAAAACGAGACCACTTTCTGAAGCAACAGATCACATCTTGTGATCTTCCAGTCTAGCTGAAGCACAGCACTGAGCAGAAAGGATGCCAAAGGGGCCTGGCAGAGGGCAGGACTGGCTTCAGGTTCTGGTATGTTGTGAAAGCAGAAGAGGAGGAAAATATCAAATGGATAACAGAAAACTAGCTTGAGACAGCTCAGCAAATGGAAGGATCAGAGATTGAAGATTTAGTGATTTACCAGTCATTCACAGGATGTTTTAAGTACATTCATGCTCACAGAACTGTCCACTTATAAATTTGTAAGTTATACGAGTCATTTCCAAAGTTTTCTAGCACCAAGAGAAGTTCAAGATGTCACTTCACAAACACGCCCTGGGCATCACAAAACCCAGCACATTTCCCACTGAAGGGACATACCTGCCTTTGAAGCTGCCTTATTACATCTTTATTTATAAATTGTTTCAGATCACAATCTGAAAATGAAGCTCTTCAACATAACAAACCTTACAGGGAACAGTCAAAAAGGAGCAGAGAATAACACTCACACAAGTTACAGTTAAAATCTAAACAGTTGTATAAACCACACTTAACTTTGCCAATGTAGTAAATCTCTTATTTTCCTGGCCAAATGGTCATTGCAGTAAGTGCAGTTTATTAGTTAGAGAAGAAATTACACTCACAAGGACTGTTTAAACCCACTCCAAAAATACACTCCAGAGACGTGCCTTAAAAACTGAAAGCTCTCATTCTTTGCAACAGATCTATCCAGACTCAGTAACAGCTATAACTGAGTCTTTAAAAGAATAAATCAAAAGTTAGGGATTTGTTACTTTTCAAGTGATATCAAGCAATGCACACAGTTATTTACTTGCTAAAATAGAAAACGACCCTTTACTGCCTTCCTAGCTAGAGCTGGTGATTGCTAAATGAAACTTTATAACTTGTTACCCACATTGATTTCTTTTACAGCAAATTACAAGTTTGAAGTGTTTCCCCTTGTAACATTAAACTGATAATTCATAACCTAAAAGCAGCTTATTGCTTCCTGAAGTCCTTGATTACTCAACATCCACTTTTGCAATACAAAGCAAACACAGTCTGAAATATCCAGTGTTCTTGGATGTTCAGTGTCTGAGTTTAATTTCACCTAAAACCCCCACCACCTGAAGGCGAACTGTCACAGACAGTTCAAGGACCTGATCCCCAGAGCTGCTAAGTGTATAAACCTCTCGATGGAAGCTTGCAGGTGCTCAGCATTGCTCAGAATCAGACCTTTTATGTAGTTTATTAAGAAGACATTCTCATGCTACAAACCAATGTTACAGAGAAAAAGCAAACGTTAGCTGTTAGTGAATAAACATATGGCAAAGACAAGATGCTAACGAGCTTTCAAAAAGCAGTACACATACCATCCCAGGTATCTCCACCACCTAGAGAAAAGTGTAAGAGATGAACACAAGTACAGGACAAAAGGCTGCAGATAAAACACTCATTTACACAGCTAAGAGAAAAAAATTTATATTAGCACGTTTATCAAAGAGCTCAACTAAGGCAGGTAGGAGTCTATGTGAGCAAACTAGAAACAGGAGAATGAAACTGACGAAAACACTAAAGGAGGAAGGCAGTACTTTCTGCAGATGGCCAAGTGATCCTCTGGTGATTTTTGCATTAAACCACGTAATGAGGTCTAAAAACACCCGAATTTTAGCTGTGCAAGAGAACAGCTAACTAGAGAACCTGAAGAAACAGCAATTCCTACTCAAGTTCAGAAGTCATGCATGTAGGGAATAGCTCCCAAGCCAGAGCTAATCCCTTTCCAGAAGTCTTCCTCACCTTCTGTCTCCATGTCCTGCCCCTTTGGAGCTTCTCCAATATCAATAGTGAACATCACTATCTTGGGAGTCATGGTGGACATTCTGTTGCTAAAGCAAAACTTGTAAGTTCCATCCATGTGGGCAGCAAACGTGTATTTTCCACTGGACTCTCGATCACCTTTATAAATTCCTTTATTATCAGGCCCTGTAATCTGGGGAAAACAAAGTGTCATGTGTTTTATTTAAAATACAGTGGGTTCAAATACACCCTTATAACACTGCATGCACGTGCTGAAGTTACCCAGTCAGAATGACCAACAACATCCGTCATCTGGTTTGGCATTCTTCATACTTTCCCAGTGGTAAAGAAAGTCAGACAAAAGCCTCTCTTATTGTCCAAGACTACTGACCTTCCACAGGCACGATAAGACACATTCAGAACAAGTAAACCACAAGTTATCTACAGCCCTGGCTGTTTGCTAAAGGAACAACTGCAGAGAAAACCTCACTGCTGACGTCTGAAGGAAAAGCCACTCTCCCACACCTCAGTGCTACTTTAGGCACACAGTTGTGCACCGCTGCAGTGACCATTCCAAACGGGCTAACGCATCGAGTACGAGTGCTCAGCGTCACTGTGATCCTGAGGCTTCCACTTCATCAGGCCAAACTCTGCTGCTGAGCTTCCACTGGAGACACTTGAATGGGATTCCACAGCTTCCTCTTCCTGACTCTGCCTCGTGTTAGAGCCATGTGTCATTTTAAACCGTTATACTCACTCCCAGCGACAACCCTCTCACGATGAAGTTATCCCAACCAAACAACTATCTGCTCCTCACCAAGATGAAAGGAATTCTTATTTACTGCTCTCCCGATGCCTCGCTGAGGAAAAGGACTTTACCTACAACTTTCCAGACGGCAATCACCCCGATTAAAGACAACGCCTTCTGATTCAAGGGGAGTCACGCTGCTCCCCGAACAACCGACGCGGTTTTACACACAGTAACCCTGTTCATTCTTCCCGCCAAAGCGTTTAATACGACAAGTCT